GGGCCGGGGGGAGGGGAGGCGGCATGGCTCTGGTTTGGCGCAACCTTTGAGGAGGGGGCGGCGGCGGCGGCACCGGAAGTGCCCCCCACGGGAGGCTGCTCTCGGGGTCGGAGGCCGCATGGCCAAACGTGGACCGGAGCCGCATGGCAGCGCGGGGACCCCTCCCCCCAGATCCCGGCCACCGGAAGCCTCGGGCGGCCGCATGTTGGGCAGGAGCCGGCAACCCCTAGCTCCTGGAGCTCTAGTCTTCGCGGGCGCCTGAGGGACGCTGGAATTTTGAGGAGTGGGAGAAGCCGGGAGGGCCCGCTGCAGGCATATGTTAGCGTTCACCGACCTCATGGGCCTCTGGAGCTTTGCCCCCAGTCCTTATGTGAAGTGAGGCGGCCAGGTGTAAGTGGCACTCTTCCGAGTGGGAGGCCAGAGAAATGGGGAAACCGAGGGCTGTTGGACAGGAGCCCAACTCTTCTCTCGGACTGTGCGGACAGCGCCTTAAAGTCCTGGGCAGATGAGTTCCCCATCGTGAGAAGTGCTCTTCATCTTGTCACTGTCTTCCCCGTTGTTGTCTGGTTTGGGAGTTCCTCGGTTTTAGAGTCTTTAACTTTACCAGCCTAGTTTTTCTACTACTCACTACTACCAACTTTTTGCTTTCATTTTATTGTCATTCACCACCCCCCACTCCCCCACTTTCTACTGACTATGGGCCGGGCCTGAAAAGCCGACAGAACCAGTGCATCCTGGGAAAAGTGGGAGGGCCCTCGAGGAGAGGCTGGGTTCCTGGGTTCCCTTTGGGAACCGAGATCGAGGTGTTTGGCAGGGGGATCGTTTAGGAAACAACTTGACTTTCTGCCCTTTGGCTGCATCTGCAAGTGCAGGTTGGAGAGGCGGGAACCCCCCAAAGAGGCCTTGTGGTTTCCTGTACCAATGACTGGGTTGTGTGTGGATGCGGGGGGGGGGTATGTGTAACAGAGACGGGTGGGGCCTTGTCCTCCGGTCTCCACCCTCCTCCCCACATTAGCCCCGCCCTTTTGCTGGCTCATAGCTGCTCACCTAATTATAGCCTGGCTATATGTGGGGAAAGGGGTGGTTGGTTTCAGTGGCAAGTAACACCTGAGTCCTCCCCTCTCCCAGGAAGTAGGCTTTTCCTCATCTCTGAGATTTGGCATCCCAACTTCCTGGAGCCTTCCTTTCCCAAGCCACCACTTTAGCTTGCATTTGGGGAGGGGATCCTGCTATTCTCCCCTCCGATACACACACTAGTTCTTCTGTATATTTGATCCCAGTCAGTTTTTAGTCCAGGAACTTTGACTTTATTTTAGATGGGTAATGGAATAAAAGGTTGGCGAGAATAAAACCTTGCCAGAGAGGAATGGGATAAATTGGAGGTACTGTTAACCTCCATCCTTACTTACCTCAGTTCTCTTCTTGGCTCTAGTTGGAATCGAAGCCTCTTAAAATGGCAGATGATTTGGACTTCGAGACAGGAGATGCAGGGGCCTCAGCCACCTTCCCAATGCAGTGCTCAGCATTACGTAAGAATGGCTTTGTGGTGCTCAAAGGCCGGCCATGTAAGATCGTCGAGATGTCTACTTCGAAGACTGGCAAGCACGGCCACGCCAAGGTTAGAATTTTGACTCTCCGCATCTTGCCTTTCTCACAGCTCCTGTATCCATAGGGCTCCTGGCAGCGAGGTGCCATCAGTCCTGGCCTCCCTTTCTTTAACTCTTTTCTTACTGTCTCACTCTTTCTGTTCAGCACTCAGCCCTTATACCCATTCATACTACTAACATCTGCTCTCCAGTCTTCAGCCTCTTCCATGCTTACCCTTTTGTCCGCATCTTCTCTGGTCGTTCCTCCCTTTCTTCCTCTTTGTGCCAGTCTCTTAACTTCTCTTCATGGTCCTTTATGCTCTGGCCTTCACTTTTTATCTTTTTGTCCCTTGAGCCTTTCTGGGTGCTCTTTGTTTACATCACTTTGCTAGGGTTTCTCTGATCCTAACACCAAATGCAGCCTTCCCCTGGAGGGGCTACAGCGTACCTATGAGCTTTCAGATCACCTTGATGCCTCATTCCCCTGTTTGAGCTTTCCCTTTGGGACTCTGATGCCTCTACATACTCTTGCCCACTCTCGACCCTCCTTGCTTTCTTGGGTCTTAACATTCTTGCTAGTGTATCACCTCAGACTTTTCCTGTCTTTTTCAAGTTCAACCTGGTTCATCCTTGTTGGAGTTCTTGGGGTTTTGTTCCCTCATCAGTTTTTCCATCTTTGTTGACTCCATGCTCTTCTGGTGTCCTTATTTCCTAACTGCATAGTTCTTTCTGATCTCCTTGAAGTCCTTTTTTCTTTTCAGTTATCTTCCTTTCACATTCATAGCCTTTTTCCTTTTACCTTCCTTATTTCCCAAATTATTAGCCCTTTATGCTTGTATCCAGAAAACTCTTTCAAACTTTTACCTAGACTCTTCCCACTCTCATAGGCTCTTGGCATCTTGTTTGTCAATGTTTTTTGATAACTCAAGGTAACTGATTTCTCCAAGGCTGCCCTATAATTTTCCTTTGTGCTGTCAACCTCAATGTCAATGGTGGTCTTTTAGTCTTGGGGTTTTTTTTTTATGGGCTTTAGTGTTTCTTTCCTGAGTTGGTTCAGTTCCACCTCCCCTAATGTTTGCCCTGACAATACAGTTTGACTTCCCTCACCAACCAAGGACAAGCTGAGCCTTTATCTTCTTTATCCTAGTGTTTGGTTGGGTTTTTCTTCGTTGCATACATACAGGTCCACCTGGTTGGTATTGACATCTTTACTGGGAAGAAATATGAAGATATCTGCCCGTCAACTCATAATATGGATGTCCCCAACATCAAAAGGAATGACTTCCAGGTATGTAGATGGCCTGGATGAAGGATGGGTTAGTGGTTTATGGGGGGGGGGGGGGGGTTTTTTTTTATTGACCAGAAAAGCTTG